CTTGTGGGTATTTATAGAGATCAGCGAGGGTGCCTGAAGGGTGTGTGTGTGTGTGGGGGGGGTTGGGGTTAACGATTGGCTGCTTGTTTTGGTGTCAGTATATGTGTGTATCTTCCTGGGGGTTAGGCAGGGTTTTTTCTATTGAGTTGTTAACGAGTGGCTGCGGAAGACCCACACCAGCCATTGTATTCCAGCCATGAAAGCCTTCGACAATACATTAAACTTAATATTCTTTTTCCATTGAAATTCCCACTATACCCTGCGTATAATTGTATTCAAATTTTGTATCCATTTAATCATACAGCCTTTGACTTGTTCAGGTTCTGAATTGTATTTCACTAATAAATTGTAAATTATGCCCAGTAAATGTTTAGTGTTACAGGATTTTCAAATTCAGTGAAATATTCCTCCTTGTTTCTATTATTGTCTTGTTGCTGTGTTGCTTATTTGAGAGAACTGGAACCAACTGAGCGTGGAAGAGCACTGTGTAGCATATCACTTGAGATCTTAATTTTGTCCTATTAATAATAAAATCTTATAATCTAAATGGATTATTTTGCTTCCATTGAGCAAATTTCTTAGTTCTTTTTCATAAAAAGTAGACATTCAATAAGGAAGAAAGAGAGATGACATCTGGACTTATTTCCTTTATTTATCCCCAACATTGAATAAGTTGCTAGTATTAAATAGTTTATTGGAAAAAAAAATCAGTGTACATCAACCCAGATATATCCATACAGCTCTTGTGGAATGTCAGGCCCTTCCATTAAAGTGATGGAACCATAAGAAAATATAATCCATGCCGAAATCCACCTTAGGCAAGTGGCACGATAGTACAATTTGAACCTGGGGGGCCAGGGCGGGGTTAGGCCACCTTGCTCTTTTGAATCTTGCAAATTCTTGAATTTAATCTTTGCCCTTTTGCTAAATCACGTATGATCCATTACTCGTCTATGCCAGCCACCGAGTGCCCTACTCTCAGTAGGAACTGGAACCATTTGAAATAGAAAATTTAGTCTTGGAAAAACATTCGTGGTGCCGCTGCCATCCTTCCTAGCCAGGTTTAATTTCTTCCCTCTAGAAATACGGGTTTCCAGACCGGTTATTTAACCCTCCTTGAATAAGCCCTCCCTATTCTTTCGTCGCACAGCTGCCTGAGCGCACCAGCGCCTGCGCACCTGGCGGAGCGGGCCCGGTCAACGCGGGTCCTCACGCGCGGCCGCGGGGGGAGGGGGCCGCCTTCGTTCCCCGCCCCAGCCGGGGCGGTTCGCAACTTACGCC